CAAAAATAGTAACAGCATACTCTGATGTATTAGTTTGTCAAGATGTCATGACATCTTGATCAACATTAGGTTGTGATACATGTTTTCAACATGAAAACATGTTTTACCTGTGAGTGAAACTTCTCTCAAGATGTGTTTTGCATTATGTAAAAACTATAAAAAAAATAGAATTTATGTATATTATGTGGTATCTCTGAGTTTGGGTGGCATCTTACGCATTTAGAGGTCTTAAGAATCATTGGAAACATAGTCAAAACAGACCCAGTCTCAAAAACTCATTTTCTGCACTAAAAATGCATTTACAAGATAGATCATAAGTCATTGGAGGCCGACTCATGTATTTTCCTAAATAAGATGTTTTCTTCTATCTTGGTCAGGCCAACTCATAAATGATTTCAGGCCGGCTCATGTACTATTCTAGATAAGTTGTTTTCTTCTTACTTGGTCAGGCCGACACATAGGTCATTTCAGACCGGCTCATACTATTAAAGTTAATACTATGAGCCGACTCATCCAAGCTAAAGGTCGGATCAAACTATTTCAAGAGACAAATTTTCTATTTTATTTTTATTCTGAATTTTCCTCTTTTGCTCTAATAATTCCATGACTATAAATACATCTTTCATGCGTCATTCTAACTTGATGATACCATTAAAATTTCATGCAGTTTCTATTCATCTTCAACCTCCAACCTATACATTGACACTAACAAACCATTATAATGATCTTTTGTTGGGGTGCCATCTAGACGAGGTTCGATAATATCCAATTCGGTTCTTATGCAGCCGGGAATGTTGGGTTGAGATTTTCAAGGAACTTCATCCAGAAAAACCGTGGGTTTATCCTCTAAGATCATTGATTAATTTATGAGTTTTCTTGCAAGACATTTATAAGAGGATTGCAGCCTAGTGAGGGCCTTTTGAGATAAAGAACACAAAGGATCCTTTGGAGATAAAGAATTCAAAGGAAGTAGCGCGAGAATGACAAATCAAAATTGAAGTCTTGTATTGCAATAGTTGAAATTGGTGGTGCACGAAAGCTTTGGAGATAAAATACGCAAAGTAGTAGCAAGATCCAGAAAATTAATTGTTAGCTATTGTATCTTGGTCTTATTTAAGATAAAAGGAAGAGAATGGTTTAAATAAACAACAAATTTTAGGGTTTGTGGAGTTTCTCTTGGAACACTTCTCTTGTATCAAACTTTTTGCATAGTAAGAATTATCCTAGGCGCAGACGTACCCACACGCGGGGAAATGTGAAGACAAATCCTTGTGTGTCTTTTCATTTATCGCTTTACTTGCTTTAATTTTTATATATCAACTTGTCAAATAGAACTGAGTAATCTATCAACGTGTAGGAATTTTCCAAAATAGTTTTTGTTCTGGACTGGCCCAGTAGATTGACTGAGCCTGGTCTAAGACATTTCCTTTGGTACGGCCCACACGACCATGACCTGGATCGCCTGCTACCTGTCAGGAAATGTCAGCCATCTGCACTCCCGAACCAGCACTGGCCCAGGATGATCGATGATCATCCTCTCATCCTGCCCGACATCAAAGTCGTGCAGGCCACCAGGAACCGACCAGAGAGATGCCCTAACTGGCCTCCCCTTGGGACCAACGGCTAGTTATGGGCACATCTTTCCGGTTTGACCAAGTCCTGACAGTTACCTGATTTTACGGACCCTCATATCCAGGCGTGAAATTAGGAACCAATGGTCATGCGCCAGGGGCATTATATAAACCCTCACACCTGCGAGGGCCAGGTAATGAGTATTCTCTATTCACCACCTAATACTTTTCTTGAATCTCCTTGTTCCCACTCTTACTTTATTATCAGAGTGCCTTGCAGGTACAACCCAATTTTCTCCTCGACATCATAGCTCCACTACAGATCATCTTCTGGCCACTTCTCAAGTTCTGATCCACCGGTAAGATCAGTGGCACCGTCTGTGGGAAACTGCTCTCCCCATATTTCTTTCCTTGAAACTTAAGATCAAGGCAACTTTTTCAAGATTCCTCTCACTAATCATGGCCGACCATGATGATCTTCATCTGCCCGGAAAGACTATTCTTTCCCCTTCTCACAAAACCAACAGAAGTCAGGAACATCCTCACCTCGAGGATAACCTGGGCTTCCGAGAAGGACATACCGCGTCTCCAGATTTCACTGACGCCTCACGCAGTGACGACTAATTCTTGGATAAGAGACACCCCAAGAATTCCACCGAGGAACTTCCAAAAATCATGTAACTAGTTCCCATCCCTCTCAACGCCGACCCGGCCATGGCAGCATTGCTCGCTGCTATCAATCAGACCAACACCCTTATCCTACAACAAGATCAAAGGATAGAGGCCTGGGAGATTAGGCGACCAAGATCTCCTCCTCGGAGAACCCGACGACGAAACTCCCCCAGTATATCACCACCAAGGCATGGCCCACCACCAAGAAAGGAGATATGCAATGTTTCTTTCTTCAAAAAACACAACCGCACACCTCCTGCCAGAGATTAAGACTCCTTTTCATTGAATAAGAGGAAAGACAACAGGAAAATCCACCGCACTCGAGTGCCTTTTCCCGGGAAACAACTGGCTGAACAACCAACTGATAATGAAATCAATGAAGTCGCCATCAAACATTTTTTATCCCACAAGAGGGGAAAGGTAAACATCGAGTAAACCTGAGAAGGGTGAAATCAAGTTCGAACGACCAAGAGATACGATTAGGGAGTCTGTTATACGAGGGGAAGGATTAGCACCCCACACGCCTGTAGTACTCTACGGTATCCACTCTTGTTATCTATCTTATGGGTGTGTCAAATCTATGCTTACTGTTTAATACTAAGGAAGAATGCATGAAAAAATAAAGAGAAAAGAATGTAGGTAAATTAAAATTTGTGCTCGCTCGGACCCTACCCTAATGCCTACGTATCCCTTTTAAGGAATCAGACCAGCCGTAGTTCGACTTCAAAATTTTTGTTGGTTTGTATTTTTTATGTACATTATTAATTTCGCCTTCTACCGCAACTCGACCTTTGGAGACTTACGCGTCATCACAGAAGAGAATAAACTTGTTCTTTTGAAAATGTTTTGAAAGAAAATCCCGAAGGCAAAAAGAGTTGGTATTGGTTGGTGTTTTTGCTATAGATAATAGCTAGTTAATCTCAAGAGAGAGATATTAGACATTTCTCTACTTTTACATGAAATAAGTATTTGAGACTTGAACCATACCAAAGATTAGAATAGGAGAACAATAAGATCGAGAAGAAACTCGCTTATCATCTCTCATACTTAACAAAGGTATGATTCTCATCAGCAATCTTTAAGTGTTTTGAAGTTTGCAAGAAAAAGAAGTTTTTGTTTTGATGCAAATGCAAAAGGGGAAATAAAAGTCTAAGGGGAGACTAACCTAAATCTATCTCTAATATTATCATACAATGGTGGTCCCATGGTTGAGTTTTGAAGGGAAATCTTTACCCTATATTGACATGATTGGATTACAATCCTAATGTTTATCTCAACTCATCATCTATAGATGAATCAAGAAATCCTAAAGGATCATATCAAGGGTCTATCACATAAAACTACATCTATCTCGAATCATCATCTATAGTTGAATCGAGAGCTCCTAAGGGAACATGCCGAGGTTATATCATCTCAAAACATGCACAGAAAGAGGAAATTAAGCAAGCAAGCCAATAAGCTCAGGAGAACACACCTAGAGATATCTTATCTAGGTTAGCATGCCAAGGAAAGTCTAACAAAACTATCCTACGGGGAACATGCAATGAGAGCGAAGTCGTGATCTCAATTTCTAAATTGAGTGACTCATCGATCAACAAGAAATCAAGTAAAGCAATGAAACCCTATAGGGAGCATGCACCGAGAGCGAATTCGTGATCTCAATTTCTAAATTGAGTGACTCATCAATCAACAACCAAGGAAACAGACACAAGCACAACACTTATAGCAAATAAAGTGCGGAATTCCTGCTACAGTTCTTTAAACTGCGATTTCGAGCTGACGCTCTTTATTTCTAGCTTCCTACTTTACATGATCTCTAGAAAGCGATAAATTCCCCTACTATACATGATCTCTAGATAGCGATAAAATGCTTAAATGAGATACACAAAATAAAATACCAAATGGATATCAATATGTAGCAAAGCATATCAAAACAAAGAAACCCGACGAACTTCATGAAAGCTTCACCAATAAGATAAAAGAGTTAGAAATCAAATTCTCGTAACAAGTATCAATGCATCATCGATGCGAAAATAAATCTCAATCGAAATCTCAAGCACATCTGCATATCACACAATAAACCTGAATAAGACTTAAATCTCGAAAAGCAAAAGCGAATCACAAAATCTTGACAATAAAATGCTTACCAGACATAAACAATAATAGAAAATTCTAACTAAAATTCTAAACAAAGAACTCCTACAAAAATTCTATTAAATTCCATTAAAAAAACAATTGACAATTTTATTGTTATCAACATTTTTGCTTAACAAAATTCAAGAGAAGAAAATTACTAAAAAGGAAATCAAAATTAATTACAAATGGAGGTGGGGTTTGTGATTGAATCGGATGGTAAGATAGAAGCAAACTCTAGGCCCATTGCAAAGGATCCAACAAGCCCCCCTTTTTTTAGAGACAGTCCAATTACAAAAAAAGAACACCAGCAATTGGGCTCTAGGGAGAACTTCGGCCCAAACAAACCATCAATAACCTCATTATTCAGATTTTTGTGTTTTTTTTATTATTAACATATTATCTATTAAAAAAAATTAAAACAAAACAAAAAATTGGAAGAGGGGTTATGGTTGAAGGCTTGCGTCATTTCAGCTCTCAATAGAATTCTCTTCGTCTTCTCAAACACGCAACTACGGCGGTCAAATCTTCTCTCCATCATTCTCAATCTTCTCCGTGGTTCCGTCTTCTTCTACCTCTCAACGGGAATGGCAGTTAATCTCTCTTCTCTGAGCAACAAGAACGATGCAGGTCACCTCCGTCTCGTCTCAATAATCTGACTCGTTCTCACCTTCATTTTTCACTTCTGATCTAGACGAAAACAAAAATGTAGAAAGAAAATAAGATAGCAATGTTTACCTACCGGAGAGAAGTCCGGCACTTCCTCGATACGATTCCTATGTTAAGAAATCCGACGGAAGTTTCGCGAGCAAAAATTAGGTATGCATCTTCTCCGTGAATTCCATTCCTCCTTAGATTCTTCTTCACGATTCTTCTGATTCCATTTTACTGCCTTTTGGTGTTTTGCGCATGCGATGTTTGTTATTGCTACCGATGCATGCAATCTGGTTGTGATGTTGTAGAGAAACATTAAAGTTGGTAATGAAGAAATTTTTTGAATTTGTTGCGGCAATTCTACGAATTTGTCGCATGATTGTTATGCTTCACCTCTTGATGATGAAGATGAAGAGAGAAAGATGAGAGAGGAGGGAATTTTTTGTTTCTCAGTAGTGTGATCTTTTGTGAACTGTGTAGAATGATGAAAACGAAGGTGAAAAGAGGAGGGAATTTTCATGATTTTTTCTGTGATTCTGCTGTGAACTGTGAAGAAAAAACCACCTGAATGGTGAATTTTTCTGTTTTTAAAATTCTGTTGCTGCTGTTAGGAAGCAGTTAGAAATCTAGGAAGTTAGATTAGGAAAGTTAGTTAGAGTTTGTTATGAAATCAGTTAGGAGAAGTTGGGATTGTGTTGGAGCGATAGATTATAGTGAGTTTTGATTTTTTGTTTTCTGTTGAGAAGTTTTGTTGAAATCTGTTAGTGCGGTTAGATTTGGTTAGAAGAAGTTAGAGTTGACAGTAAAAAATGGCACTTTCCTTTTTGTTTTGAATCTGCATATATTCTTAAATTTATATAGGCTTCTGGAAATTTGTTGGAACCTGTTAGGAAATAGATAAGAGTTAGAAATTTAGTTACAGGTTGTTAGAAAGTTGTTTTGGATCTGTTAGTTATCACTGAGACAGTTAGAAGGGTGGTTATAGTTTGAAATTATGTTTGATTGCAAACTAATCCAGTTTCGGTTATGCAGGGCATTGTTATATCAGAGCTACAAGGAGGTTATCTCGCGATTTCTTGAATTTGCTTTCTGATTTTTAACGTAGGGCTGGGTTATTAGTATATTATGCTGACTGTAAATTTGAAATAGGACTTATCACAACAAATGTTTTAGCATAGTGCAGATGGCGTCTTGGAGCAAAATTCATCAAGCATTTTTTGGATTTATTTGGCACGGTTTTGACAATTGTATGCAGAGCTGGTTTGGTCTAACTGCCATCTTGGTTTTGAAACTTGAAAGAAAACATGGAATTTGGTTGAAGCATTCGAAGGCAAGGCATGATGAAAGTTACTTGGAGAAAATGAAGAAATCTTAGGACACTAGGCTTAAGACAAATAGTATATGTAGTTTTTTCATGTATTTGATACACTTTGAATGTAGTAATATTTGGTTTCTTTTCCTTTTGAAAATAGTGATGGAATGAGATTTATAGTCTTCTTGTAATGGAAAAACAGAACTTGAATGAAGATACGAATGCAACTTAAATGGTTATGTAACCTTGCGAACTCTTGACTTCAAATGACGAAATACCTATTATTCAAAGCATTCTCCTCTTTCAAATTGAACTTGAAAATCTAATCTACTTTGATTAATGTCTTGCATAAGATCTTGTGATCATGATGTGAGTTCAACAAGATATTTGTAAACCAATCCAAATTATTTTGGAGTATTAACTTCTCACTTTTGTGCATTCCATGTATTCAAAGTAGAAACTCGAATGGGATTAGATGTAATCTTGAGTGATGTTTAAATGAAATTCACTTCCTTTGCTAAAACCTCAACATTCTAATGAGCTCTCGATTATGGACTTTAGCAACCCAATTTGAACCCAAAGACTTCGAATGAACATCCTAAAAAGACTGGCTTGTACCAATTATTCACGAATCGAGTCTTGAGCAATAAAAACTTATCAGACAATATACCTAGGATCATGATGCATCCAACCCTAATTGATTGACTAAAGAATAGATGAGTCTACTACATTAATGCCACAATCAGTACCTTGTGATTTAAGAAACAAGTGCCCTTTGAATTGATGAAAGACGAGTCTCCAATAGCCATCATCAGATAAACAACACTTTGACTAAAGGATGAAAACCCCATACGAGAAGACGACTTGATTCATCCTCCACAAAGAAAATCCTAAATCTAAATATTCATCCTTGAGAAAATCACTTGATTGTATTTATAAATACACCTCAGACGAAAACCCAACCAAGCCTGGCCATAAAGGATTAGAAACCCTAATTCCTCATTTCACTGTTTGAAGAAGAAACAGAAGAATCGGAAGAATCAGAAGAATCAGGCTTTATTGGATACGAACACCTTAACCACTATGAAACCCTAATATTGGACGACCACTGAACTTTTGAAACCCAGGTGCTTTATTGAATGAAATGTATGCCATGTTAGTGACCTAATGGAATAAGTCTAAGCCGAAAATGAAAGAGATTTAGGAGGGCAAATATTAGGGTGCAATAGCCCGAACCAAAGCAGAAACGGAGGAGCCCCTCCCCCCGATGAAACCCCCAATGAAACTGTGATGATTGACGGGGAAGAAACTATCACCCTCTTTCTCCATCTCCCGCAGATAGTGAGGATGACGAGCCCCGTAGCCTGTTACCGAGGGAGATCACTGAGGCCCCACTCCCTGTCGGCCTGGAGAAGCCACCTCCATTGGGGACCTACGATAGAACAATATACCCTAACGAGCACATTGAGAACATTGACGCTATCCTCGATTACCAAGGAGTCATAGGGGCCATTAAATGCTGACTCTTCCCAACCACTCTCAGGAAGGGGGCGATGTCTTAGTACAAGATCCTCCCCGACGAATCCATCACCTCATGGAAGCAGCTTAGGAGGATTTTTTGAGGCATTTTGTTAGAACATAGTTTGATTCTACAACCCTTAATTAGAGTTTTGATGATAACAAAATACAAAGAATAAATAAATTGTAAGATTTATATATAAGACAAATATGCTTCTTAAATTATGTTCTGTATGTACAGATGTTCTGATGGAATCAGCATCAGAAGATCAGTAATATGTCAGCATCAGAAGATCAGTAACATATGCTACACGCTGAAGCTACCAGATCATACGCAAAGAAGACTATGATCATAAACATAAGATATGCGCATAAACATATACACTCTGACTCTGATCAAAGATCTCTACCAAGTCATCAACACTCTGAAGCGTCATCTTAAGTTAAAGCAAAGAACACTCTGCAGCGCTACCATAAGCAAAAAAGACTCTGAAGCGTTACTAAGTATTCAAGACAAAATTAATTACCAACGGCTTTATTCAAGACAAGATCTTCTCAAGAAGGAAAGTGCGTTATTATCATTAAAATGGCTTTATGGACAACGTATCTCTTCCTTGGCTATTTAAACAAGTCTGTGTGAGAAAAGACAACGTTAATCACACGCATGCACTCATAATTTGCTAAGCCTTAAAACCACGCTTACTCAAACGCATTAGCAATCCAGTTTTATCCCAAGCTTAAAATTGTGTAATTATCACAGTTGTGATATACTGTTTTATTAGAAAATGTTAAACATATTCTTGTTTAAATTATCTGTAAGAGATTTCCTTGAGATAAACCGGTTTGTGGTTATACTCGAGAAGGCTTTAACAGTTGTTAAAGTAGATATTGTAATCCTTTAAATATAGTGGATTAAGACCTCGTTGGAGAGAGGCGAAATCGCCTTGACGGGTGGACTGAAGCAGTTTGAGATCAAACGAACCAGGATAAAAATACAGTGTTATCTAAGCATTTGATTTAATTTTTACAATTCAATCCCCCTTCTTGTGTTTTTCACATCTTCAATTGGTATCAGAGCGCCTGGTTCTGAGCTTATAACACTTAACCGTGTCAGTACAAGATCCAGCGTCAGAAAAACACAATGGCAGGACCAAATCAAAACATCAACAATGACAACAATGAAGAAAGAGACAGATTGAGTGGCAAAACTCCAGTCTTTGATGGAGAGAACTTTGACTACTGGAAAGACAGAATTGAGAGTTTCTTTCTGACCCATGATGCTGATCTGTGGGACATGGTGACTAATGGATACACGCACCCAGTGGATGGAAGTGGTCAGAAGATTGACAGGAAAACAATGTCTGATCAGCAAAAGCGTGAGTTCAGAAATCATCACAAGGCCAGAACAATTCTTCTCAGCGCCATCTCCTATTCAGAGTATGAGAAGATATCAAACAGATACACTGCAAAGAATATGTTTGACTCTCTGAGAATGACGCATGAAGGCAACATTCAAGTCAAAGAAACCAAAGCCCTTGCACTCATTCAGAAGTATGAGGCATTCAAGATGGAAGAGAGTGAATCAATAGAGACTATGTTTTCAAGATTTCAAATTCTGGTTGCTGGTCTAAAAGTTCTTGACAAAGGGTATTCTACTGCTGATCACGTTAAGAAGATCATCAGAAGCTTGCCAAAACAATGGAGGCCAATGGTCACAGCGCTTAAGCTAGCCAAGGATCTCAACAAAATCTCTCTAGAGGAACTTGTCAGCTCCCTCAGAAGTCACGAGATAGAGCTAGAAGCAGATGAACCTCAAAAGCAAGGTAAGCCATTAGATTTAAAATCTAACAGCAAATCTGACTCCAAAGTTTTGCAGGTTGTGGAAGAAACCTCTGATGGGTCCTCATCAGAAGAAGATAAACTATCTCTCCTCTCCAAAAGGGTGAACCAATTGTGGAAGCAAAGGCAAAGGAAGTTCAGGAATCCCAGAAGATCAGAAAATCAGAATGAATCTTTCTCCAGATACAGAAGGTCAGAATCCTCCTCTGGACACAGAAGATCTGAAGGTTCTTCAGGAAACAGAAAGCCAAACAACAAAGACATCATCTGCTATGAATGTAACGAGCAAGGGCACTACAAAAGTGATTGCCCAAAGCTTCAGAAGGAGAAGCCAAAAAGAAGTTTGGCAAGGAAAAGAAGAAAAGTCTCATGGCTACATGGGATGATTCTGACACATCTGAAGCTGAATCAGAGTCAGATGATGAAAGAGCAAACATAGCTCTCATGGTAAACATAACAGAAAATAGTGAAGCTTCTGAGTCAGAATCTGAATCAGATACAGAAGAGGTATTCCCTGACTTTACTATAAATTTTACTAAGGCTGAACTAGCTGAAAGCCTTAATGAAATTCTGGAAAGATATCAGCAGATCAGAGTCAAATTCAAAAACCTGAAAAGGAATCTTGCTTCTGACTCTGATAAGACTGAGAGTCTCAAATTGGAGAATTCTGAGTTAAAATACAAAATTTCAAAATTAGAAAACCAATTGCAAAACTCTCAGAAGGAAACAATCTCTGAAACTCACAGCAGTGCTGATGAGATCATCAAGGAGTATGATCATAGCTTTCAGAAGTTTCTAGCTAAAAACATAGACAAAAGCTAAATGACTTCAATGATCTATGGAGTTAGCAGGAATGGCAGAAAAGGGATAGGATATCAAGGTAAGGTACCTACACCAAAAAATGCCATGGATTTAGTTATAAAACGTACTTCACTTGATTCACACTTTATATATGGGCACACACATGACATAAAATATACAAGTAGTGATTACTCTGTCAAACCAAAATTCAACCAGAGTTTTGGTAAAACTAACAAATCAGGACCCAAGAAAATATGGGTACCTAAGGATAAAATAATACATGTGGCGGATATCTTTAGAAGCAAAGCAAAAACACCAATCATGGTACCTGGACTCTGGCTGCTCACGACACATGACGGGAAGAAGGCATATGTTCCAAATCCTGGAACTTAAGCCTGGAGGCCACGTAGGTTTTGGAGGAAATCAGAGAGGAAAGATCATTGGCTCTAGAACAGTAGGTAATGGAAATCTTCCCTCTATAAGTAATGTTTTATTAGTTGATGGATTAATGCATAACTTGTTATCCATAAGTCAATTAAGTGATAATGGTTATGATATAATCTTTAATCAAAATTCATGCAAAGCTGTTAGTCAGAAAGATGGGACTATCCTATTTAATGGAAAGAGGAAAAACAACATTTATAAAATAAAACTTTCTGAACTAAAAAGTCAGAATGTAAAGTGTCTTCTGTCTATTAACAACGAGCAATGGATCTGGCACAGAAGATCGAGACATGTTAGTATGAGAAGAATATCTCAGATTAACAAACTCAATCTGGTCAGAGGACTTCCTAACCTGAAGTTCAATTCAGATGCTCTGTGTGAAGCATGTCAGAAAGGCAAGTTTGCAAAACCAGCTTTCAAATCTAAAAACGTTGTTTCCACCTCCAAGCCATTAGAACTTC